ATATCTCTTTGATACACTTCCAAGTCATAGTGATTGTTTCATCACATTCTGCTTGTAATTGCGAAAGGAAATTTGCAATTATTTTAAACACCAGAATGTCCAGTGTTTGCAAGGGTGTCAAGAGACCCTTGCATCTCTTGACACATAGGCCAGGATTCATTGTTTTTACAGAGCTGCTAAATGACTTGTATTTTTAGGAGGTTTATACCCTCCCCCTCTCCTCCTGTCTCTACCTTGCTGACATGGGAATATTACTCTGCGTTACACATGAGTCCATTGAATGTGTTTCATGTGAGAGGTATTTAATTAATATCATTATTTTGGGTCATACATGATTAACCTCTGAATGTGTGATGTACAGATTGAGGCAGCTTTGAGCCGGATGCCTGGTGCAGGCGGCAGAGTGAGCCTACAGACCAGGTTAGATGAGGTAAGGCTCCACGGAAACCATCCAAATATTTATTATTATGTTTCTAGGATTTATTTATGGTGGTTGTTGATATTATTGATACATTTTAGATTTAGCCACCAACTGCTAAATGTTGTTCAATACTTAGTTTTTTTATTTAAAAAAATAAAGACCCCGAAAACATTGCCATCAGTCTGAACTGTGTCGTATGCAGGGCTTTTTAACAAACGTTAACATACTGACACTTTAAATAAAACTGCTAAACCTCAACATGTTAGTATGGTAGTATGCTTTGTTAGCATTTCGCTCAAAGCTTACCACTGTGATTAGGTAGAGACTCTGAGCTGCTGTCAACCTTGTATAGTAGATTCTGCTTTGTGGACCAAACTAAATGCATTAGCTAATAAGTATCATTGATTCTACTGTAGGGCTGTTCGATATAATGATATGTTTCGGATGACAATATGAAAATATCTATCATTTCATATTACACGATCGTTTGTTTTGTGGTGTCACAAACTGTTTATGGCAATATCTTTTCATTGTTTTGATGGTCACTGTAGTGGCTATATTATTTTTTTAAAGTTCTATCTTTCTCTTATATTTAAAATAACCACACTACAGATGGAAAAGCGACGGTTTTTATGCTTTGTTGTTAGCAACCACAATGGTAAAACATTGTGTGGCTCTGCCGTCTGCTTGTTTATTTTCCACATAAACCTTTCACAATAAAGTTGAAGCTCCTGTTGAGGTTTTTTGAAATAAACTGAACATGACCTGACAAAATACATTTATTCTCAAACATCAAATTTTATAAAATGCATCAAACAAATTACCTCAAATAAAAACATGAAGTAACTCTAAATGGCACTTACAGTCACCACATGGATGCAGGCACAGAGAACACCAGCATGGCCAGTCAAGATGAGGCAGAACCAGGTAGCTCCAAACAGAAGGATCAGTCAAAACAAATCGAGGAGCTTAGGTAGCTTCTAAATGAGGGGCTACCTTTGTAGCATGGACATGGTTTGGTTATGAAAAGTCTGACACGGACCAGAAAACTGTACTATGCAAATTATGCAACCAGTCCCCACCTCAGAATCAAACATGGCAACCCTCTTCTATCACCTACGCAAGAAATACGTGAAAGCGTATGGAGAGAGTTTACGGATGAGAAGCAAAATAAAGCCGTCAGGTGCTCAAAATAAACCTTAGAACTTAGAAGAACTTTTACTGTAAGAACGTTTATTGTCAATGTTCAGTTGCTTGCACAATGAAATTAGGAAACAAGACCACAAAGGTGTGAAAGAAAAGAAAACAATATACAAGAAAGAAGAAGAAAAACAATATAAGAACACTATATACACGATGTTTGTGTTACAGGGAGCATTGTGGGGGTGTGCACAAGGCGTTGTAATAAAATATAATAAATAAGGGTGGAAGGGCTATGGTTGTTAAGGGATGGAAATTGCACATCTGCTGAAATATTGCGGAGGAAGAACAGAATATTGCATGGAAACAAAAAGACACACACACACAGCAACACACAGCAACATAATAAATAGCAAGTAGCAGCAACAGAGTGATTGTAAAAAAAACTCTTAATTTGCATTTATTTTTCTGACTGCCCACGGGTAGAAGCTGTCCTTTAGTCTGTTGGTTTTGTACCTGATGGATCTGAACCTTATTCCAATTCAATTCAATTCAATTTTATTTATATAGCGCCAAATCACAACAAAAGTCGCCTCAAGGCGCTTCATAGATACAGAGAAAAACCCAACAATCATATGACCCCCTATGAGCAAGCACTTTGGCGACAGTGGGAAGGAAAAACTCCCTTTTAACAGGAAGAAACCTCCAGCAGAACCAGGCTCAGGGAGGGGCGGCCATCTGCTGCGACCGTTTTCCAGAGGGCAGGATGTTGAATAGATGGTGGTTAGGATGGAGGTGGTCTTTTATAATTGCCCTGGCTCAGGAGAGACATCTAGAGCTGGCAATGAAGACCAGGGTGAAGAGTGGACAGCCGATCACCTTCTTTGCAGTTCTGATGACCCTCTGGAGTCTATTCTTATCGGCTGTTGTGCAGCCAGCGTACCACACAGGGATGGCGTGCACCAGCACACTCTCGATTGTGGCACGGTAGAAGGACACTAGTAGGTCAGTCTGCAGCCTGTTCCATCTCAGAACTCTCGGGAAATGAAGGCGCTGCTGGGCTTTCTTCACCAGGGCTGATGTGGTAGTTGTCCAGGATAGGTCCTCGGAAATGTGGGTACTGAGGAACTTAAAGGAGGACACCCTCTCCACATAGTCACCTGTTATGGAGAGGGGAGGGGGATCAGTTAAAATAGTTTAAAAATTTCTGCTGGGACCTCCCAGACAAGTCAACATCCCTAGAGTTAATACAATTGCTTAAATCAGATACTAATGTATTGAACCTGCTAACTTACTTTTGAAATGGCTGCCACTGAACTTTCTGCTCCACTTCCACCCTCAGGTGGCTTTAGAGAATCGTCTGGAGAGGCTGAACCGTGAGCTGGGATCCATCCGAATGACCCTGAAGAGATTCCACGTCCTCCGTTCCTCGACCAACATATAGCAATGTCTGTCTTCTTACTTTAGTATTGATTCTACAACTTAGTGTCTTGGTTTTATACACAGCACTGATTGTCCTCCCATCTTTTTCTGTGCCATAAGCCCATCTGTACAGTGACTCCACAGCATCTTTTTATACCTCTTACTTATTACTCGGGGATATTTTGTATATGTATGAAAGATATAGCAATTTTTTGGAGTATATTTTTTAGAAAAGCACAGATTTGTACAGTCGTTTACTTTTTTAGCCACAGAAATATCAATATTAATATTCTTTACTTGCCATATTCAGGAGTAGATTTTTAAATCGGCTCATGTTTCAGAGTAAATGTGAACAATCAAAACAAATGTTTCCAGCAAAGTCATTTATCCACTTTGGAACTATCACTGCCTTTTTTTCTTTTTATTTTGTTGTGGCTCTTTTGTTTTTTAAGTTTTGAATGTTTTTCCATTTGACATGTGTTAAGGTAATTTTCTTCAATTTGTTGCTTATTTATCTTTTGCTTTGGGCCAAACTTATTGATCTTGAAGGAAATATTTAATTGAGCCAAATCAGGTTTTTTTGTGTGGCTTTTTTGCTTTATGTCTGTAAATTATTTTACAGTAATGGTCCATTCCGAAATCGAGTGAAACCAGCACACACACATTTCCACAGAGTCAAAACTCGAGTCAGCTGTTTTTCAATGACGCTTGTGCATGGAGGTTCTTGCACTGCTTCCTTGTTGTCCTGGTTTTCCTACAATGATATGAATTCACTGGAAATGTAATATTGTTGAACAATAAATGATGCTTTTTGTTAAAAATAAACCAGTATTTCTCTTTGTTTATGCCTCATCATGTGCATTGCCTAGTGGCTGTTATTCAGTATTATTTACATAGAGCCCGTTTACAAAATTTATCTCAAGGCACTTTACAGTATATTCTCAGGTAAAGAACTTACAATATTAGAGAAAGACTCCCTGTTGATCTCCATTGAGCATGCATTTGTTAATGGTGGGGAAAAAGAACTCACTTCTATGAGGAAGTACTCAGTGTACTGTGGAAAGGCCCCTGGCAACCTAAACCTATAGCAGCATTATACAGCATGACATCATGTGATGCTCAACTGAACTGTAGAACTGTTGGTTCCAATGATTTGTGCCGCTTGTACTGAAAAGTTACATTTTTCAGAGGCAGGAATCAGCCAATCAAATCAGATTTATTTACTCTAGTCAATTGAGGTAAGTGAGGTAATTGCTCTAGAAGTTTAGTGTCAAAGAGGAGATCCTGGCATTGAGGATTCACTCTGTTTTGTATACAATGAATAACAGGCAGTAATTTAAGACTAATGAAAGATCGGTTAGCTTGCCTGATTAGATTGTTGTTGCTAGGATTACTGTATCTACAAAGCACCACCATCCCACAATTAAGCACTGAGGAAATGCCTATATGCCTCCCGAGTTTAACTAGGAGCTTGGTCCACGCCATGGGGGCCTGACAGTCGTATACTCTGTGTGCCATTCATTCTCACATTTGCAGGGTTTCTATGTCCTTTATTTCTGTCCTCCTTTTAATTTTCATCTATTTGCAGCATACTCACAGTGTCTAAACCCTATTCTTACACATCAGCTAAAATTTCATACTGTTAGTGATAAGAAGTGTGGGGACCAAGAAATATGTTGCTTTCCACCTGTGGCACACTTTGTATTTTATCATTTTGTAAAAGTCAAATATAAAATGATGTTCTAATACTGTCTGGATGAGAATACAGGGCTTCATATAAATACCCATATTTTCAAAACTGTGGTGTCCTGGTCCCCTTGTTCTTGGTCGATCTCGTGCCACTCCACTTAAGAAATCCTGTAAACGCCCCTGCTTACTTGAACACTCTTTCAGCAGTAATTTCGCAGCTGGCACAGGTGACCCACTAGAGGACGCCTTTCTCCTCTGTTGCTCTGCAGAAAAATGTCCTGTTCTGTTATTACTATTTACCCGGCATGTTATCAGCAGCCACCGGCAGCACACTGCGCTGCAGCGGAAAGCCCGAACAGGACGGCCGGGTAGTCCGCTGTGGCGTTGACAGCAGCTTTGACAGGCGGAAACACACCGGGAATGAGCGCTGTTTGTGGGGGGAAATCAGCAGAACGAACACCGCTAACACTTCACTGTACAATATATGAAAGATAACGCTGTAAGCCGGCGTGTCTCCTCTGAAAATCCTCTGAAAAGTCCGGAGATGTGCGCGATATGTTGTCTGCAGACAGACCGTGACTGCAGGTGAGCCGCCGATCGCCCTGATGCCGCAGTTGTTGACCGATTGTACGGTGTCACTGCTAATTAACGCTCCTATCTCTCATTAATTCCATGGAGGAATGGAGGCGATGCAACGTTTAATTAATTCCCGCATTATTTGTGGCAGCATTGATTTGGGCTGCAGAGGTCAGGTGGTGTCCGTCATAAGCAGTGCAAAACAGCTAAGCAGCATAGTCTACATATATCATGACTGTGGTGTGAGGGGAATAATGTTAGTCTGTCTACTGTGGCAACTTGCATGACATAAGGGACACCTGTGGAGACACATGTAAAACGTTGTAAGAGCTGCCCCATGGCTGCTGTTGTGTTGTGGGTTGATCTCCTTCCGTCTGCAGTCATTTCGTGCGTCTTTGTGACTATCCTTTTTCTCGATTGCATCTCTTTTTGGTCATTTTGTGTAGGTGCTTTGCATATCATCGTTGTTTAGTGCGTTGTTGTGGTCATTTCCCTCTGTTTTTCTCTGTCTTCTTGTCGTTGTTTTGCAGGTTTTTGTCTTCTTCTTCTTCTCTTATTAAATCCGTGATTGATTTGATGGTTTTGTCACAGGCTGGGTCTCCGACCCAGCACTTTGAGCTTTCTTTGTATTGTTCTCATTTTTGAGATGTTGTTAGTTTTGTGGTATTTCCTATTTGCCTTTAGTTTAGGCAGTTATTGTTCCTGGGTTTTCTGTTTGAGTTCTTGCATTATTCATCACGTATTTGGTATGTTAAGTTTGTATTGTCATGTCTAGTTTTAGTGTTTCCTGTTTTATTCTGACAGTGTCATGTGTTCTTTGGTCATTGTATTTAGTTTCACTCCTCCTGGTCCTGTCATTAGATTCATGTCAGTCAGCTGTTTCCTCATGTGTCGCCACTTCCCCTGATCACCTCATGTCTGTATTTAAGCCTTTTGTTTTCTTCATGCCATTGTCAGTTCGTCTGTTTATTCTCACCAGAGTCATAGCCTGTTTATTTTTCCACCTCGGTCATAGTTATAGTTTTTGGTCTTAGTACCTTTAGTGTTTTGTTTCTTAGTGTTTTGTCAGTTCAGTGTTTTGTTTCTTAGTGTTTTGCCTGTTTGCTTTGGTCTCTTGGTTCATTTCCTGCCGTCATCGCAATAAAGGTTCACTTTTCTGTTAATCATTACTATTCCTCGTCATCATCTGCTTTTGGGTCCTGTTTCCGCACACATCGGCGCACCCCGCCGTGACAGGTTTTGTGTTTTTTGGGCTTTGTTTTATGCGTTCTTGTAGGTGTTTAATCTCTGCAACAGTTTGTCGTTTCTTTGCACACCCTTTACTTCTCATAGCTTTTACCTCTTTGTATTTGTTTTTGGTCTGTGTGTATGTGTGTGTGTGTGTGTGTGTGTATGTATATATATATATATGTATATATATATAATATATATATATTATCTCTGTGTGTATGTTGTGTCTCTTTTTGCCTCCATGAGGCTTTTTGGAAGCTCTGATTTCTTTGCAGTGTTTTCCTTAGTTATTGTATCTCTACGTGTCTCTTTAACATCTTTTGTTACCTACTTTAATTGCTTTCTGTGTATTTCTCGCTGTTGCATAATTGGGCATTTTTGTCTATTTTCTTGCTAATCAGTGAATTATGATATATCTCTCTTTGGCTGTCCCTCTCTCACTCACATATACACCTTTACATTACACCTGTGAAAATGGAGAAAATGGATAGATTAATGGAGGCCAGAGAATGTTTTTTTGTCCATGGCAGCAGCTTAATGGTTCGAAACGTTTTTGGATTTCCAAAAAAGTTTCAAACTATTATGCTGCTGCCATGGACAAAAAAACCACAAACAAATAACCCATCTGCTTGTTATCACTCCTATCAGCAGATCCAGTGCCAGATGCATACTGGTTATGGATGTGCTTGTCCTATTTCCTCCCATTTTAGGTTCATTTTGAATGATTTGAGTGTGTTTGTTAGTGTGTGTGTGGCAGGGAGTGAAAGAAGATGGAGCCTCACAGGATTTGATTATCTAGCCAAAATGATTAGGTTTGCTTTAATGAATGCTGTTAGGAAGTAGCCACTGCAGAAAGAATGAGTCATATTATTGATTGCCACTTGCTCCTTCTCCTCCTCCCTCTCTCTCCCTGTGTTGTCGTCCATCTATTCACTCTTCCTTCTCTTTTTCTTTATGTCATCTCTAGATATTCACATTATCACTTCCTTTTTTTCTTGTCATTTTCTCCTCCTCTGTTTTAATTTTTCATTTCTTTTAAAGGATATGCCACATTCCCTCCCTGTCCGATGTCTACAAAGATTTAATGTGAAGTGTCATGTAGCCAGAGTGACAGTTGCATACCAGTAAGGAGGGAAGAGAGTGGCTGGGGAGTCTTGGAAGAAGGGGGAGGCTGGATGGGGGTCTTGTCACGAGATGCCACGTCATCACAGTGTGTGAAATCTATTTTTAGCAGCGTAAACAGAGGGATTCCAGCCCACTGATCATGGCTTTGCAGTCAGGGCTTTGAGGTGGGAGACTGCCAGAGCGTGAGATGCTGGATGTGAATGAACAACACCTGTATTAAGCCCTTTTTGTCTGCCTCCACCGTCACTCCCCTCCCATCACCTCGGCCTGTCATAATGAACACTGCACACTGCACTGTTTTGCTTTACATGCATTCACATGCAACATCCTTTGTTTTTGACTGAAAAATCTGTCTCAGTTTTTTTTCAGCACTGCAATCACACAGTGATGAATCTACCATCACTTGCTTCCATTTTTGTGCAAACACACTCAAGCCCAGGGATTATACGAGCACACAGTTGCCAATATCCCTGGCTGTTTTGTAACTAACTATGTTGTCTGGCATGGATTTATCAGTTTCTTTGCCTTGCAGAACCATAAAAGCACAAACATAAAGGAACAATCCAAATGCATTTGATTTTTATTACCAGGAACACAGTAAAGTGTTTTGCCAAACAGCAATAGAGACAAGCTGAGGGACAGAAACCAATGAATAAATTGGACATAAAATAATATAGAACCAGTTGCTACTTTATTAACAAATAAACATGTACCATTACAGAAGCCATTTTAGTTTTGATTTTAGTTTTTTTAGTTTACTAAAGTCATGCTGGTGAAATGTGAGGACTTTTACTCAGAACTATTTCTGTATCCTGGTGTTAGTATTTCCACTGACATAAAAAAAAAAACCCCTATTATTACACAGCTGACACAAACACACATATAGGAAATATTCAAAGTAGCCTGACATTGTTAGGGTTTACAGTGAATTGATGGTTCCCTGAACACATCTGAGACCAAGTTGGCGGGCTAGAGAGGGGGGATTGTTCTGGGAATTGAAAGCACTCAGACTAATTAACAGTCCCCCCAGCTTTGTTCAGATCTAGTGAGGCGTTATGTCCTCGTTAAATATTCACACAGGTTCAGGGGTACGAATGAGACACAGAAAAATCAATAGATTTTCGATACACTCTGCTACTTAGTTAAGAGTAGTCTCTGTGAATCAGTTTTCTCAAAGCATACAATGAACATTCTGTTTTGCATTTGGCATAAATAAGGATTGCAAGACAGAATGTGTACAGGGTGGCTGTAGCTCAGGTGGTAGAGCAGGCCATCTACTGATCGGAAGGTTGGTTGTTTAATTCCTGGCTCCCCCAGTCTGCATGCCTTGGGCAAAATGCTAACCCCTCACTTGCTCTCCAATGCACTGACGAAGCATAGGGTGTGTATTTGTATGGATGAGTGTGGCGTATTGTGTAGAGTGCTTTGAGTACTCCAGGAGAGTAGAAAAGCGCTATATAAGAATCAGTCCATTTACAAATTACAGCTGTTTTGTTATATAGATTGAAATGTATTTTTTACTGTTCTGTCTTATTTTCCTTTGGCCTTTTATCTCCTTAAATCCTCCTGTTGTAATAAATGCCTGTTACTACTTGGATGAGGTTGTTAGACCAACTAAACACCAAGAAAAATAATTCCCTATCCAAGGTGCCTTGGTGCCTTTAGGGTGATCCTGTGGGTTCCATGATTGTGGATACAAAAGAAGGCTTTTACCACCTGGTTGGACTAGATGAAAAGTTGGAAGTAACATCTGGAGCTGAACAAAAGCAAATGCACAACTGGCAAGAACTGCAGTTCCTCTAGCAGCCACTAGAGGCTGACTCGAAAAGGGAGTTGATTGCCATAGACTCCCATTACACAAATGTCCAACTTTACAGTATTAAAACACATGTTTACAGTCTGGTACAAATGCTTTATGGGTAGTTTACTCCTTCATAAAAACTCAGAGTGGGGTGAATTTGCTTTAAAACATAGTTAGGGCATTTATTGCTGACTGTAAATAGTCCCAAAGTCTGCTAGAACAACTGTGCATCACTGAATTGGACACCTTTACTGTAAATGGTTTTGCATTCTGGAGCTGTGTAATGGATTATATGACTAACATTAAGGCTTGCTTGTGGTAGAAGTTTGTGCTTCAGTTTTGGTGATTGATTATTTTATTGGTCTGTTACCTAGCCCTAATCTGCTGATATGTCTGTCTCTGAGTTGCATCTGTACAGCCTATCCATGCAGTTTCCCAACCAAGCTTGCTAGCACAGCAATTTTTTATCCATATGTAGACACTTCTGGTTTGAAAAACAAAAAACAACTTGATGGTGGCTAAAAGACAAATGTTGAGTCTGGTCCTGGTGGCTACGTCCATGTTTTATACAATGAATGCATAAATGTCTGGAGAAAATTTCAAGTTGGGAGTATGACATCGTCCAAAATGTGTTGGTATGCTGAAACATTAACAGACTGCCTGATGGAGAGGCAGGATTCATCAATCCAGAGAGCTAATTTGAAGCCCACATGAAGTCTGGAGGTCTGTAGCGGCTGACTGCAGGAAATTGGTGGCCCCTGCGCACTATGTGCTTCAGTGTCTGCTGACTTCAATTTGTTATTATACCTCTAGCAGACTGTGGAATATGTAGGAGTGAGGAAATTTCATGACT